AAGGGTTTATTTCAAATAATTGAGGTGTGACCTATGGGTTAATTGAATGTGATGGAATAGACTTGAGAGATGTGAAATTAAAAGTGGGGCTGTCTGGGTGAGAAATAACTCAAAAAGCTCGTGTCCTTTTATTAAAAGGGGACCACAACTATTTTCATTATATGCCTACTTGGCATTAGAATCCAATTAAAAAGGCTTGAATATATTCACTTGTCTCTTGTTATTGGAAAATAAATTGTTATCATAATTTTTTTTATTATTTGACCATACAGGACATGAATTTTACAGCTAATGACAATATTTTGGATTTTTATTTTCATATGTATACTTCTTACGTTAGATATAGAACGTCAAGTTCAATACATATATATAATAGGTAAGAAAAGAAGAGACGTTATCATAAAGATTTGCACGTCAAGTTTTACCTATAAATGATCATCGAAATTTTCACACCCTCTGTTGGCTTATTTGGTCATTACAAAAGAGTAGCTTTAGCCACAAGCTTTGGTAAAAATCAAATACTAACATATTTCAATTTGTTTGTTTTATTTTATTTAGTTAATTTTTGTGGGTAAAATTTATTTTAGTAGTTTAGTATTATTATGACTTATTCTTGGGTTCACCCCCTAGGGTGAACCTCTAGGTTCACCATCCAATAGAATTGCATCATTTTATATTTGATATCTTTTTAAAAAGGAAACAAAATCTTATTAAGTTATATTGTATGTTTTAAATATAAAAATACAAAAAATTATAAAAAAATAATAATTAAGAAAAACGAAAATAATTATTTAAAAAAATATTTTAACATTAAACTCTAAAGTCTAATCTTAGGTAAATCACAAACCTTTGGATAAATCTATAAAAATTTAGTGTTTATAATTTATCAAAGGGTTTAGGGTTTAGGATTAGAGTTTAGGGTTTACTGTTTATGATTTACCCAAGGGTTTAGGGTTTAGGATTAGAGTTTAGGGTTTAGTGTTTATGATTTACCTAAGGGTTTAGGGTTTAGGATTAGAGTTTATGGTTTAGTGTTTTAGTGAAAAGATTTTTTTAAAAATATTTTTTTTATAAAGTTACCAAAGATTTATGATTTACCAAGGGGTTTAGGGTTTAGGATTGAAGTTTAGGGTTTAGTGTTAAAATATTTTTTATTAAAGAATTATTTTCGTTTTTATTAATTATTATTATTATTTATTTATTTTGTATTTTTTATTTTTAAAAACATAATATAACTTAACAAGATTTTGTTTCCTTTTTTAAAAGATATCAAATATGAAATGATGCAATCCTATTGGATGGTGAATTTAGAGGTTCACCCTAGGGGGTGAACCCAAGAATAACTCTATTATTATTATCAACAGATTCTCTAGCTATAAAACTTATATATATGTAGATATACCTGCGTGGCGTCCCCCTTAAGTACAGTATTATTTTTTTTTTTGCCAACCAAGGTATGTTTATGCATCAATCCCTATGTATACCTAGATAGACACAAGAATCCAAAGGAATCAAATTACTTGTAGTTCCAGATAATTTATAGAGAATCTTTTTTTACCATCTCTAGATACTTGATTTCTCCTAATAATAAAAATTAAATAAATAAGACAGAAACGACAAGTTAGGGGGACAGTTGTTTTGTCTTGTAGGGAGAACGATCACGTCTCGTGTCGTAAAACCTCCACTACTTTACACCTCCACCAGGACACACCCAAAGTTAACTTTAGAACCCTCCCGTCACACGTGCTTTGCGTGCTCTTTGCTTCATTCAGTATGTCTATTTTTGGGTATTTCTTAGTTTACTCAAAACTTTAGAAAACTTGCTTACCTTTTATACCTTTTCCTTATTTAATTTCTTACTTTACATTAAAAAAATATGTGTGTATGTTTTAAGCCATGTGTGAACTTTAAAGTGTAAATCATCTTGAAAAAATTTCACGCACTATCTCCACCTCTTGTTAAGTCGATGACTAGGCTGTATCCCAAAAGAGGATACGTTATAAGAACACACAAAATAAATAAAACAATAACAGTCTTCAGTGTTTATTTTATCTAGACATATCTTTAATCCAACAATACATTTTCTTTCTTAAAAATAAAATTTATTTACTAAACATTCATTATATCATTGTTGATGTCACAGTTCGTTAGACAAGGCAGCAATAAAGAACCAAGAAACGGCAATGACCCAAAACGTATTCAACAAATGGACACTTTCAACACTAACCGATGTCGAGGAAGTAAAACAAATCGTAAGGATGTTACCAATTTGGGCAACATGCATCCTCTTTTGGACCGTCCATGCACAATTGACAACATTATCAGTAGCTCAATCCGAGACGATGGACCGTCACATTGGGAGCTTTGAGATCCCTCCAGCTTCCATGGCCGTCTTCTATGTCGGTGGCCTCCTCTTAACCACCGCAGTTTACGACCGTGTAGCCATTCCTCTATGCAAAAAGCTATTCAACTACCCACAAGGTCTAAGACCACTTCAAAGAATCGGTCTAGGTCTTGTACTAGCAGCCTTGGGTATGGCCGTAGCTGCTTTGGTAGAGATCAAACGTCTTAGAACCGCACATTCCCACGGTCCAACAGTCAAAACGCTTCCTCTAGGGTTTTATCTACTCATCCCACAGTATCTTATCGTTGGTATTGGAGAGGCGTTGATCTACACAGGACAACTAGATTTCTTCTTGAGAGAGTGTCCTAAAGGTATGAAAACAATGAGCACAGGTCTGTTACTGAGCACATTGGCGTTAGGGTTTTTCTTCAGCTCGGTTCTCGTGACTATTGTTGAGAAATTCACTGATAAAGCTCATCCGTGGATCGCTGATGATCTCAACAAGGGTCGTCTATACAATTTCTACTGGCTTGTGGCCATAGTTGTTTTCTTGAACTTCCTTGTTTTCCTCGTTTTCTCCAAGTGGTATGTTTACAAGGACAATAGACTAGCTGAGCTCGGGATTGAGTTGGAAGATGAGCCGGATATTCCCATGGGTCATGCATGATCATGATCCGATGATGATGATGATGAATATTTGACCATGTTGATATGTATGCTTTTGATTTTTGAATTTTGTGATATATTTTATAATGGTTTTCTCAGTTACCTCTTGTTTCCGAGTCGACAAATAATGGACCGACAGATAAGGGATAAAGGTTAAAGCTCTCATTTGGGTCTGTATAAGCAGACATTGTAAAATTTCTAAAATTTAACGCAGTTAAGCTCTTTCGTTTAAATTTTAAGATGTCTGATTCTTTCAACTTGTTGGATCGATTGGTTCGTCGGTGATTATTGGTCAAGTAACATGAATAGAGGTTGACCAAGTATATCATTAAAACTCTATGACAATCATCAGTATAGCTTACCAGGGTCCCTTACACTGCACTATTAAATTTTCTATGATATTTCAGTTATGTAAATGATTGAATAAATAATTGTCAGTTTCGCGGCTACAATGTGCAATGCGAAGAGAACGCGACCAATATAATACAAAATATTATAATGATTATAGTATCAGCATGTAATATTCAGTTAATTCATATGGAACACAGTTGGCTGATTATTATGTTGGATTAGAACGTCTAATAGCGATATATCAACAGTAAAATAAGATGGTTGTACAGTTAACAAACTTTAAATCGTTATACTATCAATTATTTTTTCCTTATATAAATCGAGATAAATTAAGATATTGGTAAATTCCAAAAGTATATATTTTATAAAAAGACAATTTCACTTCACTATCTAGTTCTCCGCACCATCGCAAATCAAGAAAAATAAACCCTTACATGATTTGTTCCAAAATCATAGAAGATGAGCTAATGTATGAAGCCTTTTATTTTCTCTATCTGCTTACGGTATAAAGTAATAAGGAACGTTCTGTGCACGTTTGTTTGTCTAGTTGTTGTCTCCAAATCTTTATCTAGTTTTCAGATATAAAATGATAATTTAATACGGAGTACATTATGAATTTATGATTTCTCAAATATCCCCATCCTCAATCATGTAGCTTTATTAGATTCTATTTTGAGAAAATATATATAGATCACTTCTGGCATGGACATCAATTATATCCATTAATTCCTGCATATGAATTAATTTGGTTATACTAATTTAACCAAATCCATTGATTGATGAACTAAACCAAGGTGCATATTTCAATTAGTTTTCATTATCTTTTATATAGTGCAATAATATTGAAATGAGACTTTTTGGCTCTGCAAGATATTTAAACCACAGTTACAAAGAAAAAAAAAAGATATTTAAACCAACTACGGAGAAGTAATCACGAACTTTTGGTCTAAATAACACGAGTTCTATTTTAATGCGTCTTTCTTTGACTTACAAACGACATGGGTGGGGGAAAATAACTTTTTGCCTTTATCTCTTCATTGGTTTGTCATGTACTAACTCAATTATTGTCGCGTAGATTCCTCCAGATTCTTCTTTGGCATCTATTTTCATGTTCTCTAAATTAATTTTTCTTTTTCAGGTTTCACAAATAGAGCTCAATTTCTACATGAATAATAATGTCCCTTGAAAAAACATAAGTGCTTAGTTCATTTTAGCTCCATATATAATTTTAAAAATACTACTTTTTAAACTTTGGTCAGAGAACACAGAATAAGATAATAGAAAAAACACATACAATAAACCAAACATTCATTATGAAAACATGCATGCAGACAACAAGCCTAAAGTGGCAGACTCAACTTGGTTGGTCAGAACACTTCACTAACTTGAAAAGCCAAACAGAGACTAATCCACATTGATGTGAAGATAGCAACTGGTCTATAAGTTCATCCACAATCTCAAAATGTAATAAGAAAAATTTGAGGCCTCTGCTCTAAATGGGCCACGGCCCATAAAAAATCAGTTGAAGTTGTTGGATACGAACTGTGATCCAAGACGACAACATTTTAGTTTACCCTTAACAAATCGTTAATGCACAACACCAGTAGCAGCTTAACTTCAAGTAACATCATTCATGCTTTCACCTTCTTTTACCAACGTACCTCTGTGAAACTGAACGTTTATTTCTTTGATTTGCTCCTACTTTCACATCTTTAGTTTTCCCTTGCATCTTCTTGTACTCTCTTGATCTCAAAACCGCTTCCAAGATGTTAATGTCTTCACGTATCTCGTACCTTGAGAGAGACGTTAAGCTAGGGAGTATCTCCTTCTGGAAGTTCTTCATTCTCCTCCCTCTTCTCAGCTTGAGTCCAATCTCTCTGTTGTTACCTCTCGTGACGTTATTGAGCTCATCCAAAGCCATTGATGACACACAAAAGTCTTCTTCAGTGTTGGTTTCACTTATACCTAACGTGTGTAGCTCAAATGAATCGCAGGAACAAGATTTCAAGTCTTGGTCTTGATATGAAACTGCTGATAAGTGGACTAGTGATTCAGCTGCCATTTGAATAAAGTCAGATAACTCTTCCTCCTCATTACAACATTCGTTCTCTAGTAAGACAGGAAACTCAAGCCGTGTACGGCAAGAAGGATCCAGTGTTCGAGGAGAGGAGCTTCTTCTTAAGTTGTTTTCAGTGGTGCAGCAAGAAGTATATGAAGCTGGAGATGCTGTACCGTCTTTTTCACTGATGTTTTGGCTTTTAGGAGAGATAAGAGGCGTAGGACTATCATCTAATCCACTCTTCTCGCAGCTTGTTTCTGTCTCTTCGATGTATGGACAGTTAAGGTCTTGTAAGAAAGAGTAATGAGGCTCGGAGACAACCTCATCAGCCGGTGGAGTTCTGTTAAGATCCAGTAAACCTGACTCTACATTAGTTGTTTTATCACTATCATCCGCTCCGATAGATTGATCAACCACCTTCACTAAGTTTGAGTAGCTAATAGAATCTTCATGATCTGTTGTGGGTGACGCTTCAAGATCAATAATAATTTTTGGGTCTCTCTTGCCACTCCAATTTGTGGCTAATGTTTCTTTCTCCTTAGCTTCAAACGCTGAATGAAACCCCATCTCTACAGTGGTATTATAAGCAGCGTAGTGATCTGCAGAAAACACCTGAAATGAAAACTTTATCAAATACTAATTCCTTAACAAGAAACATAAAAAAAAGTCAAGACTAGAATCTGAATAAAGCTACACAATCTTTACCTGTCTCCCAAACAGAGTGACTGGATTCTTCTTTGAAGTCTCTTTATATGACACAACATGTTTCTGTGACAACACTTCCTCTTTTGACAAACCAAAGAAGTACATGACGCCTTGGTCGGCGATCTAACTCGTTTGTTCTGTGGTCTGTCCCTATCAAACGATAAAACTGAGATGATAAATACGTCAAATCAAACTGTCAATAGGATCAACATTGACCTTCTAAAACATGTAGAAACCAACAAGAAAACTAGCTACATGAAAGCTTATTCTATAGCTTGAACTAAAAAAGATTGTAGTATAAGATGATATCAGTATTTATCTAAAACATGCAATTAAGTAATGATGTAGTGGAAGATTCCATAAACGCTTCACAAAATTTCCAAAAAGAGAAGCATATATAGCAGGGGAGATTCGTTATTAACATAAGCAGAGATATACAAAGTAAAGCATATATATATTCCTAAATCGCAACTCAACAGTTAGAGGAACTATAAGGGGAAAAAGTAAAAGCATCAACTTCATGACGAACAAAAACATAGTACTACAACTTCGACTTTTTTGATAATAAAAACATAATATAGATATATAAATCTAATCATTCAATGAATGAGAGAATTGTTTTTTTTTAAGTAAAGAATTACCCGTAACAAAAAGATTGAAGCCTTCCAATGGTAAGGTTGACGAACAGATCTGGGAGACGAGAAAAAAAGAGAGAGAGACAGACAGAGAGAAGAATATATCTCTAAGAAGAAATGAGATCCATGGGGTCAGATTCTAATGGTTGTTGTCTCCATCAATATTAATAGATATACATACACACGTATAACGTGTATTTGTAACTATCACATACGATTTATATATATAAAAAATTCGATCATGAGGAACGAGAGAAACTTAGAGAGATAGAGAGAGAGGAGAGACTTCTCGTAGAGAGAGAGAAATGGAGTTTCGGAATATTTCCATTCCATGTTAAACAATATCTAACTATAAAGTATTAAAAATAATATAAATTTATGAGATATCTATAAGATATCCATGTCATTATTTTATGAGTAATTCAATTTTTTTAAAAATTATTTGTTAATTTATTATTACAAAAAATTAGCATTTTTGTTGGGAAAACTAAAAGAAATATTTTATGGATGAGATGCTTTTAGTGGTTAGTTTGCAAAGCCATCTTTTTCTAAGATTTATATCAACTTACTATATGTTTTGGTTTGATTTATTATTGACAAAGATTTTTAGGTGTGTTTAGGATTCTTCGCTTTTTTCCCTAATTATCATCCAAATGGGTTTTAAATTTTAATTAGTCATTTAATGACAACTGACCGTCCGTAATAGTAGCCATTTTAATTAAGTAGAGAGATAGAATTAAAATTATATTTAAATAAACTGAAATGAGAAAAAGTATTAAAAAATAGGAGTTTCTGTTGCAGCTGTCGTGTAGTGGTCAGATCTGTGTGGGTTGAGGAAAGAGGACCAGACATAGTTTTGAGAGACAGTATAGGCTTTGTGGCCCAGTTTCCAGCTTTTGCCATCTATAGATTCTTTACTGCAAATCCCCCACAGTGTATTGATATCTTACCTAACCTATTTTATATATCTCGTACGTACGATCTCTATAGTAAATCAAGCCATTGGAAGAGACATTAGCAAGGACAGCAGCCAGCTGGCCATCGCAAAAGAAGTCCATATGTTGCAATCTACAGATTCATCCCACGGTAATAAACCTGAGGAAAATACCAGAACTCCATTTAATATATGATCATTTTAATTGTCAAATGACTCATTTCATTCTTCTTTTATCCTTGATCGATGTGTGTTTTAGGTAGACCGCGTCTACGAGGATGGTTCTTTTGTTGTTACCAGATAGGAAAGCCGTATATGTCGATGCCATAATTTTTGCCATGTTACATTACACATTAGACATATGGAGAATGCAATAGTACACATAGACAATGCAAATACTGAGTTTTATAGTAGCGCAGAGAATAATAGTAATAAGGTTGAATTTGGAAAGATTCAACGATACATAGTTCACTTGAAACATAGTTTTTCTGTTTTTCATCAACATGCATCATATAAATATCTTTTTTTTTTGAAAATATGTTAAATTCAATAAAAAAAAACTGTTGTACAATGTCTGTTATTCTGTCTAAGTGTTTTTAGAAACTAAAAACTTAAGATTTTGACTTCCACAAAAAAATCATCGAAAAGAAAACCACATCTTTTGAATACTTCTGATTCTCCATCATTCATATACTTGAGATCCGATTCCGAACAAGCTTGTCAACTTGCTTAACCAATACTGCAGGGGAGTTTGGCCTCTCACCATGCCGCCTCCCATTTCTTTCATACCAAATGGTTGATAATGTGGCTTGAAAAACGTATCTGAGAAGGAACATGTGTACCTTTTCCCTATTTTGATCACTGATAAGGCGAGTGACCTCATCCCATTCACTAGTGTATTGCACATACAATAGCTTCTGAGTAAGGTTTCTCCATATCTCTTCCGAGAAACTGCATTGGAAAAAAGGTGATTTCGAGTTTCAAGCATCACAGGGCATAGACAGCAGGTTGTCGTCGTTGTTATGTTCCAATGGGAGATTCTGTTACCGGTTGGAAGTCTATCCTAGATAGTTATCTAGGCCATGAACGCATATCTTGGGGTGTTGAATTGAAACCAAATACCTCTAAACCAGTTGACCTTTGTGTTGGCTGTACGAGTTAATCTCCAGGTTTCCTTAGAGCTAAACTCTGCTTTGCATCATATAAATATCAGTTAACTTAAAGATAAAATAATACCTAGTACGACTGTTTTATTAATGCAATTTTATAACTTACAAAATCCTATTAGAATCTAAGACCATCTTCAACAATGGATATAGTCTTAGATATCTAAATCTATTCTTTAATTAAAAATATTCAAATCAAAATTTTTAGAAATTTGTTTACTTTTAAACTTTCTAATAGTAGATACAATTAAAGATTCTATCCGAGAGAGACAAAGAATCATTAAGTTTATTTTTTTTTAAAAAAAATTGCCTATCAAAACATGACACATGTCATTTGGAACTGATTCTAAAAATATAAATTATAGAACCATATCTAACTAATTTATGTCTTTTTAATTTAAATTTATCCACATAATCACTTAGATACAAGAGTTAAGTGTGATAGATCATTTTTGGAGATGGTCTAACAAACGTTTGAACAATTGTGGTTTAGTTTTTAGTTTTTAGTTTCTTCCGTTGGATTTTAATTTCATTGTGCAAACGTTTGGTTTATAATTAGACCTAATCGGTTCAATACAAATTAAAGACGGTCCTATATAAAACCCAATTTGAGCACAGAGAGAGTCATCAACAAAAAATGGCACCTGCATGCAGCAGCAGAATCAACTCACTCCACGTGGCAGTAATCGGAGCAGGAGCCGCGGGACTCGTAGCTGCACGCGAGCTACGCCGCGAGTCACACTCCGTCATCATCTACGAACGGGGCACACAAGTCGGAGGTCTCTGGGTATACACACCACAAACCGAACCAGACCCGCTTAGCCTCGACCCGAACCGAACCATAGTCCACTCGAGCGTCTACGACTCTCTCCGCACCAACCTCCCAAGAGAGTGCATGGGTTACAGAGACTTCCCTTTCGTGCCACGAAACGATGAATCCAGAGACCCGAGAAGGTATCCTAGTCACCAAGAAGTCCTCGCTTACCTTCAAGAGTTTTCGAGAGAGTTCAATCTAGAAGAGATGGTTAGGTTTGAGACTGAAGTGGTTTGTGTCGAGCCTGAACGGCAAAAATGGAAGATCCGTTCAAGAAGTTCCGATGGGATCTTGAAAGATGAGATCTTTGATTCTGTTGTTGTTTGCAATGGACACTATACAGAGCCTAGAGTTGCTCATGTTCCTGGTAATAATTTGATTAAAAATCTCAATCTTTATTTGTCTTCTGATGATTTTGAAGTAAGACATGTGAATCTTTAGGCATAGATTCATGGCCAGGCAAGCAGGTTCATAGTCACAACTACCGAGTTCCTGATCCTTTCAAAGACCAGGTTGGTTCTTATTACACAACTGATGAATTTTTATTCCTTTGTCTTTTCCAACAATTATTATTTTTTGCGTTACAAACGAGGACATATCTATTTAGATTCTCTACTCGTTACCTTGTATTTATAATTTAAATACATAGTTAGTAATATATCTAAATACATTTTGTAGATTCATTTATCTTGCATCTTAATCTTTTTTTTTTTTAACTTCATTTCATAATATCTATTTGGTTTGGAATCTTTGAAAGGTGGTGGTAGTGATAGGAAACTTTGCGAGTGGGTCAGATATAAGCAGGGACATAACAGGAATGGCCAAAGAAGTCCATATTGCGTCTAGATCAAACCCATCTGAGACATACCAAAAGCTTCCCGGGTCCAACAATCTATGGCTTCACTCTATGGTATATAATGAAAGTTAATAAGATAATAGAGCGGTGTGATCCTTACCAGAAGTGTATACGTTTTTTGCAGATAGAAAGCGCACGCAGAGATGGGTCGATTATTTTCAAGAATGGTAAGGTTGTACAAGCTGATACTATTGTGCATTGCACCGGTTACAAATACCACTTCCCGTTTCTCAATACTAATGGCTATATCACTGTGGAGGATAACTGTGTTGGACCGCTTTACAAACATGTGTTTCCTCCTGCTCTTGCTCCAAGCCTTTCCTTCATTGGCTTACCATGGATGGTTAAGTCTCTCTCTCATTCATTCTACCTTCTTTGCTGGATTTCTCATCTCTTAATAGATTCCTTTTTTTCCTGTGAATCAGACATTGCAGTTCTTTATGTTTGAGCTACAAAGCAAGTGGGTGGCAGCAGTTTTGTCCGGTCGTGTCACACTTCCTTCAGAAGACAAAATGATGGAAGATGTCACCGCATTCTATGCAGAGCTTGAAGCTAACGGGATTCCCAAGAGGTACACGCATAGGCTTGGTGACTCTCAGGTTGATTACCTCAACTGGATAGCCGAGCAAGTTGGTGTACCACCTGTTGAAAAATGGAGAGCTGAGGAAGTACATGGCGGTTATCTAAGACTTACCACACAATCAGACACTTTCCGTGATAAATGGGATGATGATCATCTCATTCTTGAGGCTTATGAAGATTTCTTGAGACAGAAGCTGATTAGTGTTCTTCCTTGATAAATACTCCATCTGTTTCCGTTTACATGTTGTTGTATTAAAAAAAATTTGTTTCAAAATAAATGTCTTGTTTTATAATTTCAATGCATAATTTATTTAAATTATATATATTTTTTATTTTTTATTGGTTAAAATGTGGTTAAATGTATAGGTAATAACTTTTTTAAATATATAAAATTAAATGTTTTCTTATTTTCTTTATACTTTTAAAATTTGGAACAAAACAATGATTATACAGTAGCGAATCTAAGACCTAAGCTTGTTGTACATTTTCTTGTTGACGCCATCTGTTTAGTTCAATTTCCACCATGCTCTTTGCCGCTTCTGCAGATTCTGCTGACTTCTGAGCTAACTCTGTTGCATGATTCATCTCCTCTATAGCTTTCAGACTCGCTCCTAGTTTACTATCCGCATCAGTTTTTCTTGCGTTGATCTTTTCAAGCTCAGCTGCTATATCTGCTAACTTCTTTTCCATTGCATTCTCTGTTTCCCCTGCTCCTCGTTTCAAAGATTCAAACTCTAGTACTGTGATCTTTATCTTTGAAGATGATGATTCTTCATGTTTCTTGCTCTCTTGCTTCTGAGATATCATCTTCATCTCCTCGCGCACTTTCTCATCAGCCGCTTTAGCCTGTTCAACTTCTCTTATACCAATCTCTAGTCTCTTTTCAGCTTCTTCTGCAGCTACCATAGCGGAATCTGTTTCTTTCTTCAAGCTCTCTATCTTTCTGTTCATCTCTTCAGCTTCGTTTCTTGCTCCCACAGCTTCTAACTTCATTTCCTCAAGCTTCAAGCTCTCTTCCTTGAGAGCTTCCATCTTCTTCCTCTCCTCAATCTCTAACCTCTCTGCTTCTCTCTCCTGCAACTCTTCACGTTCTCTCCTCATATCTTCAAGCTCAATCCTTATAGAATTCACCAAGTTTCTCAGAGAGCATTCTTCATCAGAAGCTTCTTGCAGCCTCGTTGTAGCATCATTCAACTCGTTTGTGATAACCTTAACAGTATTCATCTCAGATTCATGAGCTTTCTTCATCTCTTCCCTTAAACTCTCAATCTCCGAAGTTGTCTCAATAAGTTTACCTTCAAGAGTTCTTGATAACTCAGGCTGATAGTCTTTCCTCAACACTAGTAGCTTCTTCTCTGCCTCCTCAACAGCCGTCTTGTAACACTCTCTCAAATCATCTTTCTCCTTCACAATACTACCATACTCTTTCTGATTCTGTGTGGCTGCCACCTTGAGCTGAAGAATCGCGTCTTTCATATCCGTAATCTCTTTAGAAAGCTCATTAACCTTAGCGGAGTTTACTTGTAACGCACGTTTGGCCTCAGCTGCTTGACTTAGTGCCGTGGCTTTCAAGTCCAAAGCGGAATCAAAGCTTTGTTTGATTTTGTTGAGTTTTTGTTTTGCAGCGTCGAGTTCGATAGTGGTGGAGAGATACTGTTCTCTAGCAACGTCGAGCTCGTGGTGGTGAGGTGGGGGGCCTTGGGACTTGTCATGCTCAAGCTGTTCTTCTCGTTGTTGGACGGTGTGTTTGGTGTCTATAGCGGTTTGTTTAGACTTGTTAACGGTCTCTAGCTTGTTGCTAAGCTCCTCCATTGTCTTCTTTGCTTTTGAGAGATCGGAGAGGGCACGAGATCTGGTTATCTCAGCGTTGTCTAGCTTTTGTTTGATTTTTATGAATTGCTTGTGTGCTAGCATTAGTTGTGTTTCTTTGTCACAAACGCTCTGAAACATTAAAAAAGGGGTTTCTTGCTAAACAAGGCATCTACAAAATTGATACAACCACTACATGTTCTTGATTTAAGCTATAATGATTGTTGTTACCTCAGAGGAAAGACGAGACCTTCGTGGAGTACTTCTTTGTCTTGAGACTACTTCACCAAACAAGCTCACGGCAGCTTTCACAGACTGGAACGGTGCTCTGGTGTCTATCTCTCCGACCTCCGGCGTCCTCGGAGATTCCGGACCTTTTTGTTGTACTCTAATGTTCATTATGCTTTACTATCTCTTTCTCTTCACCCACCTGCAACACATTCTCAATTCATAAAAAAACGAAGGCCATAACAATTCTCAAGGTCATATTCAAGCATTTTCTTACTTAAACGATGCAAAATCCATGCAGGTTTTGCATAGAAGGAAATGGAGAAAATTAAATAGAAGGAGAGGAGACATGTACCTTGACCAGTTTCTCTTTCTTCGTTTCCTTGTTGTCTTTTTCTACCTAACCTACCGACTTCTTCTTATATAACTCTTGTTCTCTATAATTACGGGACTTTTGATTGGTTATTATCCTTTTTTGTCTCTTGGTTCTATATTTAGAAGTATAGTTACTGGCAGACACCTTTCATTCTTCTGTCTGCACCCACGTCGGTGCCTGTCTTTATTAATTTATTTGCTTCTGACTTTTATGACCAAAGGTTGACTTTGTACCTTCTCCTCATGTTAAGGTTAGATATTAGTATATTGTTAAAGACTATCCAATATATGTCTGAAAATCCAACAGTGGATTAGTAATGCCAACAATCTATATATAGCACATCACATATTTGATCAAGAATATCTTTCCAAGATAGCCAACATTGTATTTAGTACCACAAATTTGGTCATGAAAATATGATTGACAACACTAGAAAACATATTTTCTCTGATCAATGGCAGAGCACCCACATTGATGAACCTCCATGGGTTTCACCCAAAAAAAAAATTGATATTTTCATTTAAAAGAAAAAAATTCGGACCAATGGGGTGCCACCACATGGCGAACCCAATGTGAATCAGTTTCACTGCACTGAACTTTTCTGTTACAGGTTCACCAAAATAATATTATTTTAAATTTTTTTTTCTTGGAAAAGGGGTGAACTCCCCCTATAAACCTCTAATGCACTTGCCGAGTCTCCATGTTTCAAGCTCTTTTTAATCCTTTTGCCCTGGTAAAAAAATTGTGGGTTCATTATATCCTAAAATATAATTAGAGGGTGATTCAGAAAAATTCCATAATATAGGGGCCACTTTAACTAATTTAACTAAATATACACACTCTGCTTAAAGAAAAGAAACAGACAGTAACACTTGCAAACTTTTCTGACAAAGTGACACTATGACACAACCACCACGTTCCACCCCAATCACCTCACGTGCTTGTCACGTGGCCGTGATCGGACTGGGAGCAGCTGGGCTCGTGGCGGCTCGAGAGCTTCACCGTGAAGGCCACACAGTCATCGCCTTCGAGCGTGAGAAACAAGTCGGAGGACTATGGGTATACACCGACAGAGTCGAACAAGACTCATTGAGCCAAGAACCGGATCGAGACATAGTCCACTCGAGCATCTACAAGTCCCTCCGCACGAACCTTCCTCGAGAGTGTATGGGTTACAGTGACTTCCCGTTCGTGATCCGTCCCAGAGACGGCGAATCTAGGGACCCGAGAAGGTACCCTGATCACAGGGAAGTCATGATGTACTTACAAGACTTCTCCAAAGAGTTCAAGATCGAGGAGATGGTGAGGTTCGAGACGGAGGTGGTTCGAGTGGAGAAGGTAGAGGAGAAATGGAGAGTTCGTTATAGAAACTCAAGAGGTGTCTCTGGTGAGGAAAATTTCGATGCAGTAGTTGTTTGTAACGGGCACTTCACTGAGCCTCGTCTTGCTAATATTCCTGGTAATTAAAATCTTGGTTAATTAAGCTGTGATTAGTCTTGTAATTAAGGGTTAATTTCTTAATTATCTCGTTTTAACTTTTTTTTTTAGGTATAGATTCATGGCCAGGAAAGCAGATCCATAGCCATAATTATCGGATTCCAGACTCATTCAAAGATCAAGTATTTGTTTGCAAAATTAATATATATTTTATTTGCTTTGTTATAGATTCATGTAACATTTCTAGGACAACTGTTGTTTGAGATGTTTGTAGGTGGTGGTAGTGATAGGAAGTCAATCCAGTGGAAACGACATAAGCAAGGACATAGCAACAATGGCTAAAGAAGTCCATGTCTCGTCTAAAGCTATTGCATCCAATTCATACGTGGAGCACACCGGTCAAAAAAATCTACGGATTCATCCCACGGTAAACACAAATAAAAAGATTAATCCCGCTGATATATGATTTCTATAAAGTTTTTTTCCATTGATATGTTGTAAGATATACCGCGCCTGCGAGGATGGTTCGGTGGTGTTTAGAAACGGGAGAGTTGTTTATGCAGATGTTATAGTTCATTGCACAGGTTACAAATACCATTTCCCGTTTCTTGAAACCAATGGTAATGTGAATGTCGATGATAATCGTGTTGGACCGCTTTACAAGCATATTTTCCCACCCGCTCTTGCTCCTGGAATCTCCTTTATTGGTCTACCTTTCATGGTTAGTACTACTACTACTACATGTAGGATAGTAATTTTAAAATAAGTATTATAGATATGGAAGTTTAAAGAGATTTTGAATGTTAGGATAAAGTTGAAAACCTATTATTTAGGACCAAATGTTTGTTCATAATGCAAAACAACTTATAAAGTGGTAACAATATTGACTTAATACATTTCTTGATATGTGTTGCTATTGTGATGTCTGAAGTATCATTACTTGGCTTGATCTTTGTATTCCTACAATACAGGGGCTTCAGTTCTTTTTGTTTGAAATGCAAAGCAAGTGGGTAGCTTCAGTTCTGTCCGGACGAGTTAAGCTTCCTTCGGAGGATAAGATGATGGAAGACGCAATAGCTTTCTATGGGAAGCTTGAAGCCTTGGGGATTCCCAAGAGATATACACATTTTCTAACTGATCCTCGAGGGAATCCAATGCTGGGAACATTTAATCCACAGGATGCGGCTGTGATCTCGCAAAGTGATTACTTCAATGATATCGCAGAATATTGTGGTTGCTCGTCCATAGAAAGTTGGAGAGAGCGACAATACAATGTTGCCATCAAGAAACTTTTCTTTGGTGGTGACAGTTATCGTGATCAATGGGATGATGATCAACTTATCGAAGAAGTGTACCAGGAATTTGATAAATTGAAGATGATTGAAATGTGACGAAGAGACACATTTAAAAAAGACCATTTGTAACAATTTTTGTCTTTGAAGAATAGTCAAATATACAGTTGACCACTTTGGATACTACTAAACAAGTCTTTTTTAGATATTTTCTATTATGCACAGTAGCATTGACTTATCTTCTTGATGCTTAAAGATCTTATCACTCATCTCTTTTCTTATCTGTGAATCTCTCTCTTTCTCTTTTCCTTTATTGTGCAGAGATGGGCGGTTGCTTATCTGTCTCGTTGCCATGTGATCAAGTGGTGAATCATTTCTCTCAGTGGTTATGCCTCAAGGGGAGTTATATCCACAACCTCCCCAAGAATATAGTTGCTCTTCAGCATGCCATGGAAATACTCACGGCAAGGCTAGAAGATGTGCTGAGAAGAGTGGGCAGAGAGGAGTTCACAGGGCGTCAACAAAGGCTTTCCCAAGTTCAGGTATGGCATGAGGATGTCCTAATCACCAAAAACAAAGTTGACCATCTGCTTAGTACTTATGAGGCTGAGCTACAAAGGTTGTGCCTGTGTGGTTTTTGCTCCAAAGATTTAAAACAGAGCTATCTTTATGGGAAAAGTGTTAGCCTGATGTTGAGAGAAGTTGAGAAACTCTGTTCTCAAGGAGGATTTGATGTGGTGGTTGAGGCTTCTACGTTTGGTGAGGTGGATCAGATCCCTATACAACCCACTATTGTTGGTCAGGAAAGAAGGCTTGAAAAGGCATGGACCCTTCTCATGGAAGATGGATCAGGGATGTTGGGTCTTTACGGTATGGGAGGAGTGGGCAAAACCACACTACTCACATAAATCAACAACAAGTTTTCTGAAACAAGTGACAGGTTTGACGTTGTGATTTGGGTTGTTGTGTCTAAAAGTGCAACAGTACGCAAGATTCAAAGGGACATAGCTCAAAAAGTTGGCCTTGTGGAAATGACTTTGGGAGAGAAAGATGAGAACCAGAGAGCCCTTGACATCTACAATGTTCTTAGAAGAAGAAGGTTTGCGTTATTGTTGGATGACATATGGGAGAAAGTGGATTTAAAAGTAATAGGAGTCCCGTATCCAACTAGAGATAATGGATGTAAAGTAGCATTCACTACCCGTTCTAGAGATGTGTGTGGACGCATGGGGGTTGATGATCCAATGGAAGTTAGCTGTTTGCAACCAGAAGAGTCATGGGATCTGTTCCAAAGAACAGTTGGGGAAAACACACTGAGAAGTCATCCAGACATACCTGAACTTGCAAGAAAAGTCGCTAGGAAATGTCGTGGCCTACCGTTAGCAGTTAATGTTATAGGTGAAACCATGGCATCCAAAAGAACAGTACATGAATGGTGTCATGCTGTTGAAGTTTTGACATCATCTGCCACAGAATTTTCAGGCATGGAAGACGAAGTCCTTCCTGTTTTGAAGTATAGTTATGATAATTTAAGTGGGGAGATGGTGAGATCATGTTTCCTCTATTGCTCTCTGTTTCCTGAAGATTATCATATTGATAAAGAGAGGTTGGTAGAGTATTGGATATGTGAGGGATTCTTGAGTGAAAAGGAAAGTAGAGAGAAGACATTAAACCAAGGTTATGAGATCATTGGTACTCTTGTACGTGCATGTTTGTTGATGGAGGAAAGAAAAGACAAAACAGATGTGAAAATGCATGATGTGGTTCGTGAGATGGCGCTATGGATATCATCTGATCTTGGGAATGAAAAGGAGAGGTGTATCGTGCGAGCCCGTGTTGGGTTACATGAAGTACCACAAGTCAAGAATTGGAATATTGTGAGAAAGATGTCTCTGATGAATAATGAGATTGAAGATATAGTTGGCATTAGTCACGCGTGTGATGAGCTAACAACTCTATTTCTCCAAAAAAACGAGTTGGTAAAGATCTCAGGTGAGTTCTTTAGATGTATGCCTCATCTAGTTGTTTTAGATTTATCAGAGAATCACAGTCTTGAAAATTTACCAGAATAAATATCAGAGTTGACCTCTTTGAGATACTTGGACTTGTCATTTACATGTATAAATCAGTTACCGGTTGGTTTATGGGAACTTAAGAAGTTAATACATCTCAATCTAGAACATATGAGTAGACTTGGGAGTATTCTAGGGATATCAAGTTTGTGGAATTTGAGGACATTAGGACTACGAGGTGGTTTGCTGTTAGATGTGAGCTTAGTGAAGGAGCTGGAACTTTTGGAACATCTACAAGTTGTAACCATAGATATATCATCGCCTTTGGTTGTGGAGCCATTGTTATGGTCTCAAAAGTTGGTAAAGTGTATCAAAGAAGTTGATTTTAAGTACCTTGAGGAAGAAGCAATAAGAGTCTTGGCTTTGCCAAGTTTAGTCAATATCCGTAGGCTTAGCATTAAAAGGTGTGGAATGAATGAGATAGTGATAGAGAAGACAGTTCTAGCAGCTCCATACTTCCCAAACCTCTCTAAAGTCTTTATAAGTAAATGTCATGGACTTAAGGATTTGAGTGGCTGTTGTTTGCTCCAAATCTTACTTTTCTTGAAGTTGGTTTCTCAAAGCAAATAGTGGAGATAATTAGCCAAGAGAAAGCAGATGTTGAGCATGCAACTACCATTGTTCCTTTTAGGAGACTAGAGACGTTACACCTATCTGCTTTACGTGGGCTAGAGAGAATCTATTGGAGTGCTTTGCCTTTTCCATGTCTGAAAGTTATCCACGTTGAAAAATGTTGGAAGCTAACAAAGCTTCCATTGGATTCAAATAGTGGCGCTGCTGGTGCGGGTGAAGAACTGGTCGTGAGTTATGGAGAGAGAGAATGGATAGAGAGTCTTGAATGGGAGGACCAAGCCACTCGAGTCCGTTTCTTAACTTCATGCAGGTGGCAGTGGCGAGCAACACAATGAACTTCACTTGTCATCAACTTCATGCAGGTGACTGAAGCTGGAACAGGCCACACGCCATTGGGCTTTCAGGTGTTGGAGAGTTTATTAGTTCCTCTTCTCTGTTTCTCTCTGTTCTTGGTTTAGCAATGTCAATGTACATAATGCTCATAAAACATTGCACTTTTTTTTTTTGACAAAAAAAAAAAACATTGCACTTTTTTTTGTAAAAAAACAAAATATATGAGCATTATTCTAGATATATGTTACTACGTTTTGAGGTCAAAATCATAGAGATTACAAAAAAAAACATTTCACTTTTATGAAAGTTTTGGTTTACTTGTGTGGAGGTGATTTTAATTAAACTGATGATGTTTGAATATTCTTTTCTTACAGGGGACTTAGTAAGAGTGAAAGGCAGAACAGAGAACAAACGTATGAGGAAAGCCCCCCTCAAGTGAAGCACTTATCTTTAAGTTTAGTTAGATTCAAAAAACATAAATGGTCTTGGGATTTGTGGGTTGTGGCCTAAGTAAAAACACACTGATGATAATAGTTCACATGCCTCTGTCACATATTATGCACAATGTTTTCTTAATGATTTCAGATGTATTCTTTCTGATCAGTTTTTTTTTTGGAATGGGTAACTAGTTATTTGTTTTAATAGTCGACAATAGTAAGAATTTTTTTATATATCCAAGCTCATCTGCTGGAGCTGGACCGTGTTTGTCAAACTTAAAAAGCACGCCCAAATCATGATGTTCCTGCACCAAAATAAATGCCGAAGATTTTCGATCGTTTTCACAAGTGTTTTTTCTAAAGATTTAAAAATAATCTAAGTAACATTCGTCGCTTTTCCATTGGAATATATTTCAGCATTTCGATATGGAGTTTCTTGTGTACGCGATAAAATTTCATAGGGAATGTAATAAATTTATAATTACTATCGTATGGGATAGAATTCGCGGCAAAGTTTACAAAACTTTTTTTTTCAAAGAGTTTATAACAATGTTAAAAAAAGTTAATATATTAGACTCACATGTATATGTTCAACGTTGAATGCTGTAAAAAAAATCACGCATGTTGGAACTGATATAAGTCACAAATTATATTCAATTGGTTGCAGTAAAAGTGTACTAATAAGAATTTCGAAGTAAATTGTAAATATACGGTTTCTTTTTGTGCCGACCTTGAAAAAACATAATAATTGTTAAATTCTTCATGAGATATATAAAAAAGTGAATGCTTCAACTTCTTCTTTTGAGACCAAAAGAAACCAAAAAAAAAAAAAAAAGCTATTCTCCACGGCCTGTCTCTATATAACATAATCTTGACTCGAGCCAACATGTAAGTAATTCTTTTTTTGTATCTCCTTAAAACCATATTCTTCTCCATCTTCTTACACTATTTATGGTTTTACATACCCATCAAGCTTCCTTGGAGTTATTATTCCTATGCACACAACTCTGGTAAGTGGTCAGACTATCATCCCTATGAACACAACTCTGGTAAGTGGTCAGATTACATGTGTCATTTGAATATTATTCTGAATTTTCTGTATACACCTATGACTTGTGTAGATTAATGTGTGTATTTTATTGTTGTACAGGTTTAAATTAAATATAAACATAATTAAGGCATAATTTTTCAGAATATCAAATTCAAGAATCTTGAATTCAAAAGAACAAACCTGAGATGTAATTATAGTACAACGAGAATCTGAGACAAATAAAATTGAACTAGCTCTTTTTGTGAGTGTATATATATATTTAACTAGCAGACTATTTAAATCCTAAAGTAATAAAAAGAGATATTTGTCTTTTTTATAAAAAAAAAATATGTGAGTTACATTTAGATTAAAATTATAGTATGGTTAATCTTATCAAGTACAAGTATATATGCATATAACATAAGTTCAATAATGTAGTAATTAAGAATCAATCAAAGCAAATATGATTCTGTACCATCATCATCATCTACACTTGATTAGTGTTCATGTGTACGTATATATATGGATATATGCATTTATATGATATATATTTTCTGCTCACTTCCATAGGTCAATCTGACAACTCGAAGAAGTAGAAGCAGCATATTCTTCTCCCATGTCAGAAACCCTTTCTTCATCTTTTTCTTCATCAACTTGGTACTCCACGTTACTTGTGGCATTATTGGCATTGTTCTGTTGAGAAGCAGAAGCTAATGTGGCCTCTTCGTTGCTTAGCTGAGAAGCTACAAATTTATCAAGAACTCTCCAGTCCGTGACCTGGTCCACCGCTTGCTCGTTCCCGCTATTCATGTATGGAGAGCTGAAAATCTGATTCCCTTGATTCAATTGTTCCCCATGCGCGAGATTAGACTGCTGCAAGTTACCAATATGGTGGAGCATTTACTATAGGGCTTTCAAGATGAGGAAGTTGGAGAAATAATAAAGGAGATTCATGAAGAAGATGATTATTTTGTACCAGGTGGTTGTATTGTAGCTCTTGCTTGCATAGCAAGTTAGGGTTGTTGAGAGCGTAAGCAGATGCATTGAAGCCATATGGATAATGTTGTTGGTGCTGAGGATGATGATTGGGGAGAATCCGCCGTGGACCGTTTGTCTCGAGCTCAGAGGACATAAAAGAGAGCTGATCATCATACCAATGTGAAGGTGAGGAGTCGTAATCTCCCATTCGTCTAACTGCAGCCAATCTCTTCTTGAAAACCCTACACACAACCCATCCTTCTTCCTACAACCAAATATCATATAATGGGATTTACTCATATATAGATTGTGTGAAGAGAAGTTATGGTTTAGGGTTGATATAATACATGAGGAGTTCCATTTTCATCGGTTTCTAAGCGGTATTCATGCATGATCCAATCAGATTTTTGTCCATTTGGGGCTCTTCCCTTGTAAAATACAAGTGTTTTCCTCATACCAATAAGACTATTATGCCTCAAGTATATAGCCTTATCTCTTCCAGTGGCTTTCCAAAACCCTGCTTTCGTTGCTCTATTGGTTCGAGTCCCTGTGGGATACTTTTTGTCTTTATGGCTAAAGAAGTACCAATCACTTTGCTCTTCATGTCCAATTTTGCACAACTCTATTTTTACAAAGAAATGAAATCAGTTTTTTTAAAAAACGTTTATTAGGGAATTAGAATAAAGAATAAAGGCTATATATAGAGGCCATGTGATGTGGCAAACCTTGAAGATCCCATGGCTCAATCTTGTAAAGATCAATGTCCTTTATGAAATCGACTTCTATTCTCTTAGATGCAACTTTTTTCCTCAGGTAGTAGTCTACAAGTTCTTCGTCTGTTGGGTGAAATCTAAAACCCGGAGGAACGTGTGAAAATGAATTCATACTTTCGTCTTCGTAATTAATTAATAACCTGCTTATAAGAAAAAAATTCAAACAAATCATGAAATTATGAACATAAGGTATAATGTTATAACAGTTAAATTGATAACATAATTATTTGATTTAGATTATGATTGTTCTGTCTTAATTAGCAGCTAGTTTTGTTACATCTATGATATATGAAGGGCATTCACATGGTAAAACTATATTTCTCCGAGAATGTTTAAATTTATTCTTATTAGATTTTCTGTATATAATCAGTATAACAATTTCTGATTTTTCATCTGATAACAGTTAAATTTATGTAATTAGATGCGTGCATTATATATATATATATATATATATAAAAGATCGATTAAATGAAATAAAAATCTGCTCAAATATTGATTTCATTTGTATAACATCATCTTGGATATTTTATTGCATTTAGGTTATTTTAACCAAACAAGCAAAGTTCATAAGATGAAGAGGAAAACAGCCTTTAAATTAAGAGATGATGAGGTTGATTTTCTAGATTCTTGTATAAAAGCATATTAAAAATTCTAATCAACACATCGAAGATCGATTGATTTTCTATTTTAAATTAATAGTTAAGAATTAGATGATATTTTGCTTTGCTTGTAATATCAGCAAGATTAAGTATGATGAGATGAATATGATGATGATAATCAAGGTGATTAACGAAGATGATAATAATGGATTAAAGATGATTTAAAAGCAAAAAAATTACCTAAACAAGAAAGAAAAACAAAGTATTTGTGAAGGTGAGGATCGGAGAAGAATATAAAGTAGATAGTGAATTAGGGTTTTACCTGAAGAAACTCTAGATAGAAGATGATTCAGCTGAAACAAATTTTGTGTGTTTTGGCTACTGTATGCTTCTCATCAGAGGTTTGAACACTTCAACACAAGACTAGGGAGAGAGAAGGGTCCCTGAAAGAAGAGGGGACAAGATTTGACAGTGCTCCTCGGGAATAGGTTTACCGGAAGTAGATATTAGATCCCGAGAGAGAAAGAAAGAATGATAAATAGAATGGGAAAAGGAGAAATAGATTAGGGTTTAATATAAAGAAGATCAATCGATGAAAAAAAGAAGGAGAGCGCACAAAAGACACAAAAAAAGAAGATGACAACCGTGTCCTAGTAAGATCTATATTATATTTTAGTTTCTTTATCTCTCTCTTTCCCTATCAATCATACTTTTCTTTTCTCTCTTGAGTCCCTCTTGCACCTAGAGAGAGACAGAGAGAGGGGGACTTTATTTGTTGCACAAGCTTCGGGAGTAGGGAGAGGAGGATAAGGGGGTAAAGTAAGATATTCAGAGAGAGAGAGAGAGAAAGGTGGCAACATCCATTACCACCCACCAGCTCTTGATGGATATGCTTGATCATCACTATTAAGGTTCTTTCTTTTATCTTTCTCAAAAAAGGTACTTTCTATTGTTTGTCCTCACATTAAGCTTATTTTCTTGGTTTCAGTTAGGTCTTCTTTTATGTCTAAAATGTAACTAGTTTGAATCCAAAGATATTGCTGGTTTAATAGTATGTGTTTTGTCGAAATATCTATACATCCATTTTTTTTTCTTTTTCCATTGATACAGTAATTATTTGAAAATGCTAAAAGACTATCATATTATCTGCATATTATAAAAAAAAGAAATATCTGAATATTTCGTTAATTTTTTAATTTCATATATGTTGAAAATAAAATGTTATTCATTCAAAAAATGTTATAAGTTATTAACTAACTACTTCATATGAGCTTAATTATGCAATCAAAATTTGAATATATACGATTAATTCGTTCAAAACATAGTGTATTCATTATAATGTGAATTAACAATTTTCTTGTAAGGATTGAGTTGGATTTTTTATTTTCTAATTCTCTATCTTAAAAGTGAAATATGAATATCTCTAAATTATGAAATGTGATTCAGTATTTTAGTTCCTATAGGAACAAAAAAAAAACTCTTTACACTATAATAGGCTTTCCAATTAGATTTGAAAGTAACTATTTCTGATCTCAAATATATTCTTTCGGTAAACAAAAATTGGAGCTAGGATTTCAAAAAGTAAATCCTGAAAAATTAACCCATTAAATCAACAAGTTAAAACATTACAAAAGGATACGTTTTTTTTCTATGATTTATCTTTTTGTTTTTTTTATTTGAAATTCACATAATATCAAAACATGTATCTACACTACATGCATGTAAGAATTTGCACTCTCATAATCATTCCGGCGAAACCAAATGTAGACATCCCAAAAATATTTTGAAAGTGAATGTATTCTTCATGAAGATAACCTGCAAATTAAATTTGTATGATACTTTTGAAAAGTAATTATTACATATGTTTGTGTATATACTCTTGAATATTTCATCATTTGGATGTGTATGTTTGATGCATAATCAAGTGAAACATTAACACTAATTAGGTTGTCAAAATTTAATAGTTAATATATATAAACACATTATTTTAATTTATTAATAATACTATTTTTATTAAAAAATTTAATCGTCCTAAAATCAGTTTTTATCAATTTCTATATATATTCTATATATTATTATTTTACCATGTTAACCTGCATATCCATCTCTTTTTTGTGCACACCTGCATTTCTATCTCTTACAAATCGAAATTTAGCTTGATTTTTGTCCTACTATTTTCATCTTCTTACTATTAAGACCATGAAAAAAATGCGAGAATCCTTCTCAAGAATAAAAACACATTACGTCTTAGGGCTTGACTGATCTATATAAGAAAATGAGAAAATTTTAAAATTTTAGAAAACAGCTGACGGATGTAAGTGGAAAGCGGGACCTACAAAGGGAAAACGGAATAATGTGCTGACGTGGTGGCTGCTGGTCCGGCGTGAGCGAGCCCTCTATAATTAGTCTCACGATTTGCTGTTGCAGGCCGGTTGGTCATGTGGGTCCCATCCCGTTTTCTGTTCTCTTAAACTCTCAATTTTTTTTACAAAACCTTAATTTTTTTCTTATATATTGTGCTTTTAATTTTTTTCTTATATATTGTGCTTCTAATATTTTTTTGGGTATGAAAGTCGCTTACATTTTGTTTTCTAGGTCTAATTTTTCTTTTACAACGTTTTCTTAGTCTAATTAAAAGTTACATTTGTGTAACTAAAATATTTTTTTGTAACTCTTTGAAGTTGCAAAAAAAATCTAAAACTTGTAATGTATTACCATGAAACTATACTTGTCCTTGCTTCAGTTCAAAAAACTCTTGTACATGTACCGATCACATACTTAAGAGGCTAGGTAGTTCTTATGGTATACCCCACAATGTATGAATTTGTACACTACACATGGGTATACTTTAACTTCCAACCATGATGTGCGGACATTTCCTTACAATAACTTGAGCAACGTATCAAATTTCGTAGACATGTTTTCTTGCATACTTTCCTTCTATAATTGTCTAACAACATCTATCCGTGAATTTAGTTTGATTAGTGATTTGCATAATTTTCTAACTATTTAAATGAATAATAACGTTGACATTATCATCTTATATTTTTTGTTAATATCAGTTTGATTCCCTATAATTTCCTGTTATGGAAAATTTTAAAAGCCAGGTGTCAAAATGTCACCCAAGTTTCAACGACTGAGGCAAAACCCTCCGCACATAAATTTCTTTAGATATTTATATACTTATTGTTGGATTCTGTAAAAGAAAAAATACATTCGTTTTTTTTGGTCCACAAAAGAAAATAAATATAATGAAGAGAAACGCCCCCCTGAAAACTATATCGTTATCGTGTAATCAATTAACTAATTAACTAACCAACTAACCGGATAATGTTTTTAAAATACATATTAGGTAAGTTATATTTATAATATAGTTTGTGTTTATGTAAGTTCATCTAATATCGGATGGTTCTGCGGCTGATGTTAGGGACTTTGGGGGAAAGATTAGGTGTGTAAAATATCATATACTAATGAAACTGCAATAAAGAATTATAAGATAAGTAAATAGAGAGGAAACTGGACAATTTTCATTTAGTAATATATATAGACATGTATATTTTATTTTATTTTGATTTTGTGTGTTGGTGAAACGAAGCATAGAAGTGAAGCATAAGCAAAGACTGTGATCCCAAAAGTGTCAATATTGGTCCCACTTCGCCTCTTGTCCATTACCTATTTGATAATGAAATTATAAGTAATTCAAAAAAAAAATTATAAGTAATTCCACACTTTTACTTTTATATTTCTACATACGAAAAAGGTATTTCTAGCTCATTAGTTGATTACTAGAATATAATGGTCGGAGCTAAGGCATAAATGATAGTCGTTTCATCAATTAATCTTCTTTTGGCTGCAGAATGATTATATTTTGTTATGTATACTAAGTACTAATTAATACAAGTTTTGGTTTGGATTGTTGAATGGTGAGCTCTCATTGGGCCACCAACCATATGTTGCCTATTAAAATAAGAATAAAATATTAATTTATTTTCATATCGAATCCAAGATTATACGTTACAATTAACCCACAAAATGGTCAATACAATACTTTTCAATAGATTCTGCTGAAACTGCAAGCTATCACTATGAATAAATATAATAAAACTATCATTGTAATGTTAGATTCCAGAAGAAGAATCTTCATGATCAATATATATTGATAATACTGTTTAATAGACATTATCATGCTAAATTTCCCAATTGAGTTTATATATAAGAACAGCGTAGTGTATAAAATTTTCAAGACAACTAATAGTCTAATACTATCCTATATACGCATGGGCCAATGTGACATAATTTTCTTATGAAAACTAAAAAAATTAGCTACCTTCAAAAATATCATGCCACTATATATTAGTATCTCATAACCTACAGTGACTATTAACTCTTTATATTGTATAATTGAAACTAAAAATGAACTGTCCTAGTCTAAGGCTTTTTAGTTTTAGGGTTTTGAAGGGATTTACGCATGACCACGTGGTGTAAATTCATCTAATGAGAAGATATAGTTCTTCACAACTTGTCCCAAAACCCTAATCATTACGAGAAGCCCTAAGACCACGTGGGGAAGTTTGTTCCTTTTGTCAGTTTCTTGTTCCATGAGAAAAAACTTGTGACATGTAAAGATTCTACCCGTATCCTACTCATTCTATGGTTTAATGTTACAGTTACCAATAATTATGTTGCCGCTAGCCAGAAGCCAAATCGGTCGTCTAGTTATTCAGCTAACCAAATGCCAAATCTGAATCCAAAAAAAAAAAAATCCTAGAATACTTACGAGATCAAGTCGTAGAATCTCATGGTATATTAAACGAGTATTTCAATTATGACATTTGTAGTTATCAATAGTAATTGTTTTAAATATGTATTACTATTAATCCAAATTTCTGAGATATATGGGGTGAACTAAATAGATGTAAACTGCAAGACATAAAATGTCACAAAAAGCCTAGGTTGCATGGAAGCTTCGTCATACGTCTGCTTCATGCTTCGGAATCGGATCGGAAACGGAAACTTGTGGAATCTCTCGGAATCTTGATTTCATTGCGCTTCCAAAAGAACATTTTTAAAAACACATTGAAAGCTTACGCTTCCATTTTGAAATCACGCTTCCGTTTTAAAAGATTCAATGTCATAAGTAGATAAAAATATAAGAAACATTATTTTTGTTTTTATATAATAGTGAAATAGAGAATAAAAATATACAAATATTAAAAGTAATATTATAAATTATCTTTATGCATTGAGGATTTATTAAAGATATATCATATATATTTAAATAGATTGTGTTAATTATATATAAAAGATTAAAAAAATAATTAGTATAATAATATCTTATAAACTTGATTTATGTATATTTTTTACGGTTTTAAGATAAATCATTTAAAATTATTATAAATGAATAAATCTTTTATTTTAAATTTGACTCTAATAATTTCTAGTCATATTTGTAATTTTTTATATTTTAATATGTGTATATATATACATATATAAATATACGCTTCCAACATGTTTATGCTTCCTAATTTTTTTTAAAAATCTCACTTCTACGCTTTCATACGATTCCGCTTCCGCGTATCCGCTTCCGTTTTCATGTAACATAGAAAAAGCTTCTATCCTTTTGAACTAGTATTAATTAATTATTTTATTGTATATGTAAAATATTTCTTGTAAACAATGTGATTTAACCAAGAGAGTT